GATTTGCAGCACTTCTTTGTGCCACATGTGTTGTGGTTGGTTTGAGGAACTTTGTTCCTTGGGTTGCTGTATCTCAATGTCCAGTGACTTGTTTGGGTCATATCAAGGGTTGTTTCCTCCAGAGAACGACATCTTGTTATTTGTTTCTGGTGGTAGTGGGAGAGGTTGATTCCCTTACATGTGTGAGATTTGCTGTAAGGGTGTATATTGGAAGCTACACATGAGTTTGGGGTTCATGTGGTCTAGGCAACAATGTTGCCCAGCCCATGTGACACCTAACATGGGATTGTGTGTGGTTGTCCAGGCAAGTCTCTCACCTGGCTCTATTGGATGAGTTTCTTGCCTGGCCTTGGGATTATGGGCAATTGCCCCTCAGCTTCACCTTTTCTGCCTCTGTCAAAATGCAATCAGAAGAGGGGGTTCCGAGAGCTCCAGTAGTGAACCCAAGCTTCTCCAGGAAGCCCAAGTCTGCTGGTCATTACAAGAGGCTCTTAGAAGGACATGGCCTCAGCGACTCAGGGCTGTCATATCCATACAATCCTGACCTCCGCTCCGGGCTCCTGGAACTCCGAACCTGACTTCCAGAGTCCTACTTCCCTTCCGTCACCTCCTCCTTGCCGACTCCCAAGAGGTTACCCCACCTCCGGCTTGGACACCACCTTCGGTCCGACTCCGGAACATTCCGGGTCCGACCCCAACCTCGACACCTTCCAGACGAGTATGCAAAACCTATGCTCCCGACTCCGGACCTCTGCTCCGGAATCTCGTTCGCGTCTCTGTCTCCGGAACCTCTGGTCTTAGCTCCGACCTCGGACTTTGACCCCACCTCCACTTATACCCATTGTATTGGTTAGCTCATTCCATTTAATTATGTTTGCCAATATTCCGGAGTTTAACTTCCGAGTTCGGACTTTCCAGACTTACCTCGGACCTTGCAACTATTGCATTGTCCTATTCAATTCCGCCATTCTCCCTCATTCCTATTTGGGCTGCTGCTTCCTTTCTATTCACTCAGCTAGCCATTCCCCACTCCCATCCTCCTTCCTTCCTCCTTGGGCCATGGCCCTTCATTCCTCCTTTGAGAAATACCATTGAGTCAAACCCTTGACCCTCGGTGTTGTTCCTCTTTCCATCTCCCTTTGTCTCCTTTCGTCCTACCCTCGCTCCTTTTGATTCTGGACCCCTCCTTATATACAATGTACATAGTAACTTGTAACCTCAGTCCAAAATCGACATGAATTCCCACCAAGAGACTTTCCCTCTGCTAGATCCGAAATTAGGGACCCCTAGGACAACCAGCAATGGCACAGCGCTCCGCCTGAGTCGCTGAGGCCGAGGTCCTTCCACGCTAAGTCTCCGATTCCACTCCGGAGTCGTCCGAATCCACACGTTCTAACAAGGGCTGTGCCTCCATTACATACGTCTTAATTTCAGATGTCTGAGGTATCTTGTGGGGGGGGGGGGACACAAATCACTCATACAGGAACTTGGGGGTGAAGTTTTAGTCAAGATTAGAACTGAGGTACAACAGGTTCTAATCTACAGGTATATATAAAAGTGGAAGAGAGGACTTTAGTCAAAGTCCAAATGATACCAAAAGGTTCTGAAGGGTATCTCTAACAGGGAACTGAGGTGTTGGGTCAAGGAGGGCAGAATAGAAGGCTGGGAAATGAATGGGAATGAGAAGTGGGTAAGGGGAAGTTAGCTGACTGAATGGAAAGAAGATGTCAGCCATGCTATAAGTGGAAGATGATGGGGGCAGAGTCACTGGGGATGCAGGTTGCTCCGAAGCTGCAGTTACATATCTGAGAAATGTTGGGTGACTCCAATAAATGAAATGGATAGAAGAAGGGTTTACTAAATGTCAGAGGTCTGTCAGGAGGTCAGAGCAATCTGGGGATTCCAAAGGTTCTGACTTGGGACCAAGCTTCGGGGATGGAGGTGGCCAAGGGTAAGTGTGCCAAAGTCCAGGCTGGAGCTGAGACAGTAGGGGCAGAGGTGGGGTGAGAACGTAAGGAGAAATGGTGTAGGGGATGGCGAGGTTGTTAGGAAGGTGTAGTGAGGTGGGAGAGTGCAGGGTCGGAATTCCGGGATGTGACAGCCTCCATTTCTGGGGGCATAGTAGTGCTGAGAGTTCCCTATCTTCCTCAGTGGGAAGATTCTTTGGTTCCATCGCATTTTGTAATGTGAGATATTTGTCCAGGTGGACAAGGTCATTACAGTTATCTAGGGGTTCCCATGTGGTGTCCCCTAGCTCCCATTTAACCTCGAACCAGAGTTCGTCATGAACCCACCCATGGTTTAAGATTTTGTGGACTACTGCTTCACAATCGGGTGTCATATCCATACATACCTGATCCCGATCCGACTCCTGGACACCCATCTTCACCACCTCCAGAGTCCTACCCTACCGCCGTCCATTCCGATATTCACCTTCGGACCTGACACCACTCCTCTCACCCCTCATGCCACCTCCACCCTTCTGTCCTTCTACCCTATCTCCATCCGCTCCGATACTCACCTTGGACCGAACATCACTCTTTTGCCACCCTCCTCCTCTTACTCCTCACGACGCCTCCACCCTTCTGTCACTCTCCTACCCTACTCCCATCCACTCCGATACTCACCTTCAGACCTGACACCTTTCCTCTCCTCCATTCTTCTCCACTCCTCTCCCTGCTCCTCTCTTCTCTCTCCCCCCCCTGACCCTCTTCCGCCAAACCTCCGGCAAGTTACGACCTTCTGCCACTGTCCCATACCCTGTACTCAGACACCGCTTGTACCTTCGCTCCGAGATTCCATCATAGTTCCAACCTCGGACTTTGACTCCACCTTGGCTTAAGTCCATTGCATTGGTGACCTCATACTATGTAAACACCATTGCCAACATTCCTTGGACTTTCAACCCTGCCTCCATAACCTCTGTAAGCTCTGCAACCCCTGAGCTCCACGGATCATACTCAGCACTTTCGCTGTTTGTAATGTATCTTTTGCGCTTTCCCCTCATCCTTATTTGGACTGCTGCTTCTTCCCATTCTAGCCAGTTAGTCATCCTCCCCACTTTACCTCATCCTCCTGCCCCTCTTGTTAGAACCGGGTGGATTCGGACGACTCTGGAATGGAATCGGAGACTTAGCATGGAAGGACCTTGGCCTCAGCGACTCAGGCGGAGCGCTGTGCCATTGCTGGTTGTCCTAGGGGTCCCTAATTTCGGATCTAGCAGAGGGAAAGTCTCTTGGGGGACTTCATGTCGATTTCGGACTGAGGTTACAAGTTACTATGTACATTGTATATAAGGAGGGGTCCGGAATCAAAAGGAACAAGGGTAGGACGAAAGGAGACAAAGGGAGATGGAAAGGGGAACAACACCGAGGGTCAAGGGTTTGACTCAATGGTGTTTCTCAAAGGAGGAATGAAGGGCCAAGGCCCAAGGAGGAAGGAAGGAGGTTGGGAGTGGGGAATGGCTAGCTGACTGAATAGAAATGAAGCAGCAGCCCAAATAGGAATGAGGGAGAATAGCGGAATTGAATAGGACAATGCAATAGTTGCAAGGTCCGAGGTAAGTCCGGAAAGTCCAAACTCGGAAGTTAAACTCCGGAATATTGGCAAAGGTAATTAAATGGAATGAGCTAACCAATACAATGGGTATAAGCGGAGGTGGGGTCAAAGTCCGAGGTCGGGGCTAAGACCGGAGGTTCCGGAGACGAGACGTGAACAGGATACCGGAGCGGAGGTCCGGAGTCGGGAGCATAGGTTTTGTGTACTTGTCTGGAAGGTGTCGAGGTTGGGGTCGGACCCGGAATGTTCCGGAGTCGGACCAAAGGTGGTGTCTGAGCCGGAGGTGGGATAACCTCTTGGGAGTCAGCAAGGAGAAGGTGACGGAGGGGAAGTAGGGCTCCAGAAGTCGGAGTTCGGAGTTCCGGGAGCCCGGAGCGGAGGTCGGGATTGCATGGATATGACACCTCTGGGCGTTGCCCTCCCTATCTCCTTTTGGATGTAACACAGGTTCTAAACCTATGACCTTCGGTGCTGCTCTGCTTTCGTTTTCCCTTTGTCCCGTTCGGATGCCTTTGTTCCGATTCGGACCCTCTTCGTTTCCTCGTGCTTTCGCCCTCTCCATTATATACCGGCACTTGTACATACTCGTTTTAGGCCCTTAGTCTAAAATCGACCTGAAATGCCCCCTAGAGACTTCCTGCTCAACACCTCTGAGATTAAGGACCAAATGGACAAACAGCAATGGCACAGCGCTCTGCATGAGTCGCTGAGGCCAAGGTCCCTCCTTGCTAAGTCTCTGGTTCCCCTCTGGAATTGTCTGCCCTCGCCCAGTTCTAACATCGGTGTTACAGGGATGGGGGAAATTCCCCATTCCTCAATCCGTTCTTATAGTGGGATGACGAAGGTCATATCTGGTCTGTACCATAATGGGATATGTAATCGATGTGTCAGAGACCAGACTTGAGATGAAGGAGTGTCTCCGTAACGGAGGGCTTTGGCCTCAGCGACTTCTGCCAAGAGCGCTGTGCCTAGTGACACGTCCGTGCCCTAACTTACTGACTGGCACTTAGAACCTAGGGGGGTAACTCTAGTTGATTTATCTGCTGGGGCGTAACCTATGTACAAGTGGTGTATATATATGGTTACAGCGGAGACGGTTCCGCAATTGGCGGAGCCGAACGGAGCGGAGCTAACGGGGTTAAGACATTAGCCGACTGAATATTACCGACGAGTCGGTTCGCGGGGTTAGCGGAAAGGCAGGCGTTAACCCAGAAACGGAAAGGAGGGATAGGCCCGAAGATGGGCTCTGCAGGGCAGGCGAGTGTATTGCCCAGCAGAGGTGGGAGTGCACTAGTGGACGTCGGAGCTGTCCGGAAGTCTTCGGGGCTCCGTACTTAGGGAGGTGTAGGTAATAAATTGAAATGAGGGGGTGGTGACCATCGAGGGGTACCGAGAGGTTTGCGGAATACAGGGGCTCCGAGGTTGGTGAGGGGGGAGCGGAGTTAGAACGGAGGGATCGGAGAGACCGGAAGTCGATGGCCGGGGATGGATATGACACGATGAGTGATCCCAGTCTTGCCTGGGAGTGGACGATCAAATTCCCATCGATCACAATTGGTGATGTAGTGAGCTATTAAGGGATTGATGGTAGGTAGTCGGAGATGCCAGGACAGATGGGTCAGCCACAGGTACTTGGCACTCCTCAATGGAGTGTACCATGTGCGAGGTCGCAACTTGTGAGATGGGTGAGAACTTCGTGTAGTTGCCATTGGATACTTGGCGTTCACAGTGCGAACATACCGGTAGCAGGTTGATATCATAAGCGTGCAATGAGGACTGACTAATAGGGCCTTCGGTGACTTGGCGTTCCCAAAGGGAATGTACTGTTGGTGGGGAATCCTGATGACTGACGAAGGAGGGAACAGATGGTGGATGGGCAGCGACTTGGCATTTGCGTAGCGAACGTGCCGGCATCACGGGAAAGTGGGCCTCAGAGTATTCACGATCTCCATGATCGTGATGTGACATTGTATGTCGAGTACTGGGGGGAGAGTGGAGTGACAAGGACCCATAGGGTACAGATTCAATAGGACAATACACATGTCGAGAGTCTTCGACTCGCGACCTCGAGTTCTCACGGCAAGGGCCGTTAGAGGATTCGATATAACCAGACTTATAAGACATATTGAGAGTTGTACAATCACACGGGTTCAGTTGAGTCACAGGGAGGGTTGTTACAGAAGACGATACATGAGACAGTTGTAGAGCAGTTGTTAGTTAGTGGGAACCGCCTTTGGCGGTTTCCGTACAATGTCAGGGCACACCCGCCTGACCCGGGCCCACCCGGGCCCACCCGGCCACACCACACCCGCTCCCCGCTGTCTATCCCCCTCCCCCCTCCTTCCTCCCTCTCCTCCCCCCTCTTTTCCCTTTTCTTTCCCCTTTCTTTATTTCATTCTTCTCATCTTCCTCTTCCTGTTTATTTCTTTCTATCTACATGGACCACCTTCCCTTGTATCGATGTACTATTGACCCGTCCGGCCCACACACCCCAGACGGCTTCCCGCTGTGCCCAGCACGCGTGCATGTAGCGGACGCTCTCGGGATCCCCCACGGGGACACCCGGATGCCTGCGGCTGCCTCCGAGGATGACGTGGCACCTGTCATGTGACTCAAGCCGCATGTACATAAATGTACCTGAAGTGGGAACCGAAGAAGTAACCTTCTTCTCACATTCTCCACTTCAGGTAAGTAGTATAGTTTTCCTCTTTAATAATAATAACACATTCTCCACTTCAGTCTGAGTGGCCAGGGACCACTGTCCCGGATCGGGCCCGCCAGTACGCACGCCCGCTCCACACGCCGCGACGGCCTCAGTGCCGGGCATTACCCCCGGGCCCTCTCGACCCCGGACGCGTCCCTGACATACAAGACGTGTGACTATCTACAAATGGTAAGGTCGTGGGAAATCCCGCGAAACACAAGTAACCTCGGCCAGCACCAAAACCCCAATGGGGAAAGCTTTGCATGAGGGGGGGGGAAAGGGGTAGAATGGGTAAGGAGGATAGGGTATCAGGATAGAGGACAGAAGGGAGAAAGAGGGGAGGAACGATAGAGAGGAGAAGTCTTTGACCATGCGACGGATATGGTCGTTGGAGACTCCGTATCCATAACAATCGGAGTCTTCTCCAAAATTGTAGAAGATGTTTACTTCCCTATTTGGAAAGATTTCTTGGTCGTTTGGCTTGTGAGGCACTAGTTGAGATATGTGGAATCTTGGGTGGATTCCACATTGCTCAAGTTGTGGTGGCAATTTGAGGATGTAATTTGATGTCTCTGGAAATATTTCCAGAATTTCATAAGGCCCTATATATACAGGGGCTTTAGTTTTCCTGCCCTTCCCTTGGGTAGGTTCAACTTATCTGTTGATAAGTATGCAAGCTTGCCTTTTCTTAAAGGCAGGTCCAGGCATCTCTTTTTGTTCACCTGGACTGTTTGGGCAGTGCAACTGTGTATTATCATGTCATGTGCTGCCATTAGGTTTTCCTTCACCTTTTGGGCAAAGTCATTCACTCCCAGGTAGTCCAAGGGTGGTGTTGTTAAGCACATCTTTGGCATATGGCCATAGATTAATTCGAATGGGGCCAATCCTGTTGATGTGTTTGAGCTTGCATTAATTGCGAATTCTGCCATCAACAGCTTTGCTGCCCAGTCACATTGATCTGGTCTGACCATCGCACATAGTATTTGTACTACTTTCTGTATCATTCCCTCTGCTTGTCCATTGCCTTGTGGATGAAATGCAGTTGTGAATTTCAACTGCACACCGAGTATTCAGTGTAGTTTGCACCAGAATTTTGATGTGAATTTGGAGTCTTGATCTGATCTGATTGAGCATGGTAGTCCATGAAGTCTTATCACTTTGCAAAGGAATATGAATGCTAGTTCTAGTGCATTCATGGTTGTTTTGATAGGGATCAGGTGGACGTTGGATGTCAACCCGCAGATAATTACCCAGAGCCCAAGCCTGTTGGGAATGGACCTGTAAAGTCCATGGCAATTGATGACCATGGTGTGTCCAGGGTCCAGAGTGGGTGAAGCAGTCCAGGATTTTTCCTGGTGCTTTTCTTTGTTGTCTGGCAGGTTCTGCAATATTTGCAGAACTTGTGTTTCCTCATCAATTTCCACCAGAAATATTGATGGTCTTGGATCCTAAATGTCCAAGTGTTTTGTGAATGTTTTTGAAGATTATTCCTCAAATGGACTTCCTCTCATAGTTCCCTTTCAGAAAAGGTTCTCTTCTGGAAGTATGATTTCTTCCAGGTTTTGGGTGCTCCCCCCTAGAGCTTCTTCTAGGTTATTTCTCATGCATATTGCTGCAAGTCTCTTTTTCTCTGAGTTTTCACTCAGAGTGCTGCTTAGCCATATTCCTCAACTCTGTTGGGGATGATATCTTCTGCATTTTTATCCAGGTGGATATCGGAGACGGTTCCGCAATTGGCGGAGCTGAACAGAGCGGAGCTAACGGGGTTAAGACATTAGCCGACTGAATATTACCGACGAGTCGGTTCGCGGGGTTAGCGGAAAGGCAGGCGTTAACCCAGAAACGGAAAGGAGGGATAGGCCTGAAGGTGGGCTCTGCAGGGCAGGTGAGTGTATTGCCCAGCGGAGGCGGGAGTGCGCTAGCGGACGTCGGAGCTGTCCGGAAGTCTTCGGGGCTCCGTACTTAGGGAGGCGTAGGTAATAAATTGAAATGAGGGGGTGGTGACCATCAAGGGGTACTGAGAGGTTTGCGGAATACGGGGGCTCCGAGGTTGGTGAGGGGGGAGCGGAGTTAGAACGGAGGGATCGGAGAGACCGGAAGTCGATGGCTGGGGATGGATATGACAGATATCCACCAACATGTAGTCATTGAAACGCAGATCCTCATCAGTTGACGAGTCATAGTAGTGTGAAAGTGCATCTGCCACTTTGTTCATGTGGCCTTCCATGTATTTTATTTCACAATTAAAGCTTACAAGAAAGCTTGCCATCTCAGGTGTCTTCCTGAGTTGTGGTTTTTTGCTTTGAAGTATTCCAAAGCTTTGTGGTCTGTGATTACTGTGAATACATGGCTGCCCATGAGTGTTAGAGACAAGGGTCTCTGCCATTTCTGGAGCAGAAATGTAGACTTAGTGAGGAGGGACCTTGGCCTCAGCAACTCAGACTGTCAGGGCACAGCCCTCGACCCCACTCACCCTCAGACACCCTCACCCTTTCCCTAACCACCCTCTCCCCACATCTCCCCATTCCCCCTATCCTTCCCCCCACTGTTTCACACAATGATGTGTGTGCGTGTGAACCTGTGGGAACATTCTGGGCGAGCAACTTGCCCAGAAATGTACAGCCATGACCATGGGAACATTCTGGGCGAGCAGCTCACCCAGAACTTTCCCACGGGTCACACCCGTTATGGAAAGTCAGCAGTGAGCGGGAACTGTATAGTTCCTAGGGTCCTTTTGTGTCGGCCTCATGGGGGGCTGAGAAGCTTACCCTTCTTCTCAGCTCATTCCCTGTGAAGGCTGAGGCTAGTCCCCTCAGCAACTTTGAGGAGTTAACAGCTGGGGAGAGCACCCCAGCTTCCACACCCAGCCTCGCCCTCTGGCCACTCCCAGCTGGGGTCCGGATCCTGACACAGACAGAGTGCTGTGCCATTGCTGTTTGTCCTGCTGGTCCTTAATTTCAGGCATATCAAGAGTAAAGTCTCTAGGGGGCATAGGTACTTGAGTTGAGTAGACTAGATTGCTCAAGTTGCTCAAGTTGCTCAGGTTGCTCAGGTTGCTTACTGACTGAGGAGTGAGCAAGTAAGTACAAGCATCTATATATATGATGGAGAGATGGAAGCATGAGAAAAAAAGGGGGGTCTAAAATGGAACAAAGGTGTCTGAATGGAGACAAAGGGAAATATGGATGGGGAACTACACCAAGGGTCAAGGGTTAGACTCTATGGTGTGTCCAAAAGGAGGTAAGGAGGGCAAGGGCCCAGAGGGGCAGGAGGATGAGGGGAAGTGGGGTGGATGACTAACTGGCTAAATGGAAAGAAGCTGTCAGAGACCAGATCCAGGATGAAGGACAACATCCCCGAAGTGAAGGGCTTTGGCCTCAGTGACTTATCCCAGGAGCGCTGTGCCTAGTTACATGTCCATGCCCTAACTTACTGACTAGCAAGGGATTCTAGAAGAGGGAGAACTCTAGTCAATTTTATCACTAGGGTGTAACCTATTGTCAGGGACACATCCAGGGTAGAGGAGGTCTGGATGTAGTGCCCAGCAGAGGGGCCCTCACAGGGTGTAAAGCAGGCATGCGTACTGGCAAGCCTGGAGTGGGACAGCAGTCCCTGGCCACTCAGACTGAAGTGGAAAAGGTGAGAAGAAGGTTACTTCTTTGGTTCCCACTTCCGGTACATTTATGTACATGTGGCTTGAGTCACATGACAGGTGCCACGTCATCCTCAGAGACAGCTGCAGCCATCCAGGTGTCCCTGCGGGGGATCCCAAGAGTGTCCGCTGCAGGCACACATGCTGGGCACAGTGTCAGGGACGGTACAGGAGAGGCAGGGGTGGTGGCATAGCCCCCGGCGCTAGTGGCCCGGGCAGCAGTGGAGTGGCAGGAATGTATAGCAAACAGCCCTTACTTGGGCTCGCATCCCTGTCCGGCTTCTTAGGCTGAAGCAGTAGTGATGTGATTGTTATTAGGATGATGTCAGGGCACACCCGCCTGACCCGGCGCCGCGCCCCGTGCTGTACTGTTCTACTCCACGACCCCCGCTATCAGCCCTGCCCCTCCTTCCTCACTTTTCCCCTTTTCTCTCTATTTCTATTCTACGGTCGACTTCCCTTTTCTCCATGTACCACTACATACCTAACCCCATTTCCCTGATCGCCGAACACGCCATGCACACTCCTGCCTACTGAACGGCCACCTCTGGGATCTCCCACAGAGACACCCGGGGAGGTGCGGCTGTGTGCAGAGATGACGTGGCCTCCTCCACGTGACCCTGACCGCATGTATATAATAGCGCCTGGGGTGGGAACAGAAGAAGCAGCCTTCTTCTCAACTTCCCACTTCAGCCTAAGTGGTCAGGGACACTCACCCTGCAACGGGATCGCTGCTATGCACAGCCGCTATCTGTCCCACCGAGTCCC